AAGAAAAGGAAAAAGAGAGAAAATGCCGCCAGCTGCTCCTGATTCCTCGGTGGAGGAGATGAGTGGCATTTTTATGAAGAAAAGGCACGCCAGCCAGGACGTCGAACTGCGCCCACTTCACGACAGCCTGGCGCACACACACACACACACACACACACACACAAACTCCAGAGGTATAAAACAGCCTGCACTGCTGCACACGGTGCTCGGTGCATGTGTGGAAGTGAACGTGTGTTTGTGCAACTCGGAGCAGGAATGCACTCAAAAATGCTAATGCAAAGCCACATCTCCGCAGCCTGCATTTCTGGAATTTCAACGCTTGTTCTTTATGGCTCTTAACAAGTCACTTTCAAATCAAATCTCAAACGGTCAAACACGCACACACACACACACACACTCAATAAGCAACACCGCAGCGTGGTGTTGCTAATAGCACTAATTAATAGGCTAAATTCTGCTAATTGAACTCGCTTATGCTGAACCTCTCTCTTCCTCCTACTCCTCCACACCTCTTTCATTCTCTCTGGACTTCAAGACCATGCTGTTAGCTTTAATTTAAATTTGCATGGTGATTACATTACTGTTCCACAGACTAATGCAATCTCCGTTCTTTCATCATTGCCGTAAATAATTCCTCAACACTAATCCCACATTCAACTATTTTCAACCTTCTCTCATTTTTAGCATTTGCTCTCCCTTTCTATATGCTTCAGTATCATCCCCTGCAACACACACACACACACACACACACACCTGTTTCTGTTTGAAGCCTCGAGGAGGAGAGAAAAGCAACAGCAGCAGCAGAGGCAGCAGAATGAGTAAAAGAAGAAGAAGAAGAAGAAGCAGTGTTCAGTTGAATGAGCATAGTGTGGAGGAGAGGACAGGATCTGGGAGGGACGTGGGGAGGGACAGCCATTAGCCACGCCAGCTGTTTCCCTTGCATATTAATACACAAGCAGGAAGGCAAACACACACACACACACACACTCACAACAACATGCACACATGCCGGCAAACATGCAAACTCATGCTGCGTCGGCAAAAACCTTGGGTGAGAAGCAGAATATTCAGACATACTGTAGTCTACATTCAACATCAAAGTCCTGCACGAGATTTACAATCGAGACACATGCTGCAGACACTTACTGTACGTGCACGCATACACACCCACACGCAATAAAGATGAATGGAAAAATCGCAAATGCATAACAGAGAAGTAAAAAGACATGTAGCAGATTTATAACAGATATGTCCATATTCATAAGAAATCCACTTGCATGCGAGGGCAGACACAGACATGCAGGCTATAAAGACCATCCCAGGGATCACATGCATAAAAAACAGATGCATGAGATTTACTATGTCGAGACATGCTGTTCAGATTCATAGCAGGTACAGTGGAACCAGCGCGCACACACTTACACACACACACACACAAACAAATCCAAGCCATGAAGACAAGCGTAAAAATCAGACATCTAAAATATATATATATGCATAAAAACCTGAGGAACACACTCACACAGGAGACACATGCTGTGCAGATACATAGCAGATGCGGCAGCACACACACAGACACACACTGGAGTCTGTAAGAGGAGGAAGAAAGCAAGCAGTGCAGTGTGATGGGCAGAGAGAGGAAGAGAAACAAAAAGAGAGAGAGAGAGAGAGAGAGAGAGAGAGAGAGAGAGAGAGGGCAGAGGCAGGCGATGATTGTGGCTGTGGCTCAAAGAATTCCCCGAGTGAGCATTATGTATTGAAAGGGGGATAAAGTGCAGAATTGCCTCTTTCCTTTTCATCTCTGTTGTATTTCCGCCAGAACGAACAAACACTGTCACATCCCTGAAAGCTTTTCATAAATGCTGCGAACTATATACTACTATGTAATACTATATGAGACACATAATGACATTGTAGTACACAGAACATATTCAGTGATACATGAACATATTGAACATAACATTTGTGGGCAGGTGTGGTAGCAAGTACACTGTGGAGAGTTTGCAGTGCTATCTACTAGTGCTACTTTAGCAAGGGCAGACTGATTATTAGAAACATCTCTCAGTGTAACATAACACAGTTACACAGCAGTCCAAAATACATTATCCAGAATGACCACAAAGTTGAAACAACACCTCTCCAAATAGCGTAATAAAAAAACGGAACATTAGAACCCTGAAGGTAGGTAAGATTTATTGCTAGACTCATATTTCAGAGCGCATTAGCCTTACACTTCTAAGTGTATATATTATACAATACATATCAACTTCTATAATAATCAGCCCTTTAATCGTGCAATAGCACAAAAGCAGAATGTTACTAATAATAATAAAAACACCTGTGCTTGAATCAAGTTCCCCATTAAACCAGTGTGACAGCAAGCCTGCATTCCTAAGACAAAGTCCCTGAAGCTGAAGAAACTTAATGGATTTCAGCAGTAATAGTATTATTTACACATGTGCTTCTCCAACAACCACACATCAAATGTCTTTAATGTAAGGATGATAATGATTCATTGTGAATTTAATAATTGCCATCATTTTATTAATCAATTAAAAATATGTTAGGCGATAACGCACAAAAACGGGCTGCAAGGTGGCTCAGTGGTTAGCACCGTTGCCTCGCAGCAAGAAGGCTGCCGGTTCGCATCCCGGTGAGGACACCGGGATCTTTCTGCCTGGAGTTTGCTTGTTCTCCCCGTGCAGCCTGGGTTCTCTCCGGGTTCTCCAGCTTGTTCCCACACAGTCTAAAAACATGTTGAAGTTAACTAGTGATTCTAAATTGTCCGTAGGTGTGAATGTGAGTGTGCTTGGTTGTTTATTTCTACGTGTAGCCCTGTGATAGACTGGTGACCTGTCCAGGGTGTCCCCTGCCTTCACCCTAAGTTATCTGGGATAGGCTCCAGCCCCCCGCGACCCAAGTGAGGATTAAGCGGTGTATAGATAATGGATGGATGGATGGATAATGCACCAAAACTGAAACCCTGTCAGTAAAAGTACTGTAGATTTGCTGTAGTACCTGGTTGTTCCTACAGGTGGAGCTTCTTAATGTTTACTAAGACGGAGCTACAGGTGTGCTTGTGGACCACCCACACACCACAACCACAGTCTAAGGCCTCTGAATAATAATAATTGATTAGATTTGTATAGCGCTTTTCTAACTCAAGGAGTAACTCAAAACACATACACTGTCAATTATTCATTCACACACATTCATTCCAGTGGTGGTAAACTACTGGTGGTAAGCTGCGCCTACGGCCCCACCTCAAACAATCCATTCAAACACATTCACACCAGGCAAGGTGGGTGAAGTGTCTTGCCCAAGACACAGGCTACAGGACAGAATCGAACCGCTGACCTTCTGATCATTGACCAACTTGCTCTACCACAGCTGCCCATGTTCTAAAATAACAACATCTATGCCTCCTTGGGTGTCAACAGTCAAGTATAAACAAGGCTTAACTGCCAACTGTTGTGCTGATTAACTCTGCAACATAAAGGTATAACATGGTTACTTGCAGCTGGTTAGCTAGCTACCTGTGGCTCACACTAACGCTCAGAATGGCAAACACTGGCTGGGAGCTGAGAGTCTGTCAGTTGAGAGCAGCTGTAGCTTCTAGCGCTTCTAATGTACAGGAGCAGCAGTTCTCTGATTGCGTACTAAAATTTTACATTGTAGACATGGCAGTAAATACTGACAGATTTCCTGGACTGACAAAGTTTGTGTGACAGTATTAGCAGACATCTGTTGCAGCTGCACAGTTGTTTCCAGCAGCTGGACGAACATCAAATACAGTGAACAAGTTGCTCCATCATGTAGATCAGCTATCGGGATTATTTTGATGTCAAACTGCTGTGAAAACAATCATGTCACAGGTTGTTGCTGTATTAAATACTTTAGATTTTGGTCAAATGTTCAACAGCAATTTTAACAAATTTTATATTTTTTGCTATTCATTTATCATGTAGTAGACTGGTGTTTATGTAAAATGTTCACTAAATTCTGCCTGTAAACACGTCAATTTTGTGGCAAGCTATAGGTGTCAGTGGTTAAAAATGGTGCTATCAGAATAGATTATTGATTAATAATGTGGCTATGGAAAGTGTTGAAAGTGTTTTTCTCTATTTCCATGTGGACCATTTAAAAAGATTTTTAGACAGGGAGCCACTGAGACCCAATACTGGTATCTGCCATATCCTGAGAAAACTTTAAATACATCAAGATTTAATACTAAGTGTAACCATCCTCAGCAGGCTGTTGAGGTGCTCAGTACCACATTGAAACCTCTTCACTACACAGTAATGTCAAATTACATGTTTAAAACAGTGTCACCTTCATATGGCATAATACATTTTTAAACAGCAAATGTTCCGTATCAAGGACAAAAGCTAAGTATAAACAACTAAATACATGAGAGGATTCTCATCAGAAATGCTTGTGGTTTGTGTTGATGTGAAAAGATAAATATCGGCTGATATATTGCCATCAGACTTTTCCAACTCAACATTGATAGTTGTAATGGGCATAAAAAATCAATGTCAGTCAGATTCATATATATATATATATATACACAAAGCCATAAAAAGAAATGCACACAGTACAATAATGTACACAGTACTAGATATGGTAGGAAAACTCCCTCATGCATTTCTGCTACATCTATAATGCAGTAGTAGACTGTCTTTTTCCAGTGTTGTGTAGGAAAGGCACATAAGTATATTGAAATATAAAACTAAGGCTTCTCTCAGCCTCCTTTCAGGCCATTCCTTGTGACTTCTGACAGCTAAAAAGAGAGGAAAGCCTGTTTTTACCAGGCAATTGCTCATGGGGATGGTGCAAAAGTGTAGCATTAGTTCAGATATCATGTGGCAGATAGCATCAAGACCATAGAGACAGTGCACCCTAATGGCACAGATAACAAACAAGAAAAACACCTGGATAAAAGACAAAAATGAGGAAAGATAGACAGATAAATAAGGAAAAATAATATGTCATCTTACCCCAGACACAAAGCAGACAGGCTTATGAAATAAAGGACAAACAGAGCGACAGAGGGAGGAATTCAAAAGAGCACATATTCAGAAACTCCAAGTATGTTTTGTGGCAGATGCATGCAAACACACACACACACACACAAACATGTACACACTCGTCGCAAAAAGTAATAAGTGTTGCGACACAGACACTGAAAGACCGAGACAGGGAGAGAGATGATCGGTACGTTAGCGGAAGCACACATACAGGCGCACGCACACACACACGTCTCCAGTGTTAGCTTGACTTATGAAATCCTAACTGTGGCTCAACACCGCAATATTGTCTGAAAATGTCAAGGCTTAGATGGAAGCCCCACTGGGACAAAATGTACTGTCAACACACACAGGGCTCAATCTGTTCTCGCAAAGACATATGGCTTTCATTTATCACATTCTATGCTGAGACAAATTGTTTTCCCAAAACCTCGATGTGCAACACAACAAGAATGGTAAAGATTAGGCATAGGAGAAATGTCACAACAATGGAAAGGAGGATGGAGAACGAAGTCAGGGTTGATAGTATTCTGTGTAACTACACCACCAATATGTCAAGGTTCTTAATATATATCCTGTTTAAAGCTGCTCTACACTGGGTTTTTATATACCTACATGCCATGACCAAATTATAGTTCTATTTGGTTAAAATCCTGTAGAACGCCGCATATCTACGTGCTTCTTTAGGTACAGAATATCTAATGATAGGTGAAGCGAGAAAATTAAAAACAACACAGAGGGCTTTTGCACTGGGTTGTGTATTTGTCCCTAGGGAGACACAAAACAAATCTGATTCTAGTCCTATAAACTTCAGCTTAGCATAATGCCTTTGTGCTCTTATAATTAACCTTCTCTGCTGTATAAACCAGTTAAAAAGTACATACAAAAATAGAATCTGAGCATCAGCCCAGACTGCAATCTGCCCTCGGCTATTTTTTTCTGTTATGCTTTCCAAGCATCAGTGACTTGGCTTTAAGACGTTATAATCTGTCTCCATATACCCATAAACCCTTGCGTTCCGAAGCAATTTCCTGTTCAGATTATGTTCTCACTCCTGGTACAACATGCTGCAGTTGTCTGGGACAGAGAGAGCTGCATTTTGAGGCATTTCTGTAAAGTCCAATGCTTCCATCTCACCTGGACAGGCGAATGAAACATAAATGAGTTCAAGAGTTCAAATAAACTTTTGCACACATACTTGATGTGACCCAAAACCATCCCTGTGATTCACCCAATTTAAAAATGAGGGTTTTGGCTTATTCACCCACAGGAAATCTTTACTCTTTTAGTTTATCCCAAAGATGTGAGGTGTCTGTTCAACATGTGTAGCATGCAAACTCTGACAGCAGTGATAGCTTTACCTGAAACACCACAGGGATTCAGACATACCTTACATACTGTGAGCAAAATGCACTACCGTACACCATATGTGCAACACACACACACACACACAACTTCATCCCCTACTTTAATTACAGTTGCCTATATTTCTCCACTCAGTTTCACACTAATTAGACAGAAGTGGTCTGTCACGAGATAAACGATCCCATGTGGCACCCTTATTTTGACTTTTATCACAACATCGCACATGCATGTGCACAAACACACTATCCAAATGCGGCAGTTGGTGTGCGCATCTATGGAAGTGTGAACGCATACCGCACACCGGAACGGACAGCTGCAGACGAGCATTTACGTAAGCCTGCACACAAACTCAAATATGCATACGCAGAGGGTGGATGGTAATTAGGACGTGCTGGTTTTGATGTTTATAAAAAGAAAAAAAAAATCCATCAGCAAACCTCAGTTTCCTGTTGAGAGAGGCTGTTGGACTTTAAAGCGTCTTTACAGGCTCTCATGGCAGGGAGGTACGACACGCTGACTGCATGACGCCAAGCTCGTAAGGCTCACCGCGGCGCTGCCACTGTCGCCACCAGCCTCTAACCTGTCCCTTCTCCCCCTCCACACACCACCCCGAGGCTGGCCGCAGGACCGCACCCAATTCTGGGCCTCTGTTTATAGATGGGAGGTGAGCATGTGTGTGTGTGTGTGTGTGTGTGGAAAAGCTTTCACTTTCTTCCCTTGGAGCAAAGTCTCGCATTGTGACTCCCAGCTTGTGAAAGCCTGCGGTGTGGCAGCAGGACACTGGAGACACTGAAATGGCACTGGCACTCAGATTTTATTTGCCCTCAAATTGATCCAAGATGGCAGGGCAGATTCCTAACTAACAGATCCCTAACTAACAATGCAGATGTGAGCCACTGTTGTTCATTAGGAGAGGCCATATTGGTTTAGCCCCAGGTTAAAGCACAGGAGATGACGAGGGATATTAACTTTGGTCTCTTTTTCAGTGGGGTCTTAACCTTCCTCCCCCTCCTTCTCCCTTCCCAGTATTCTCTTCTTTCCTCTCTCCTGACCTCTCCCTCTGCCAGTTTCACTTCACTTGACCTCTAACCTGTCAGCTCCACCGAATCGGCCGTAGGGTCCTTCGTGTCAAACACCGTCTGTGAAAACACTGCTGTTCAGATAAGCTAAAGAGAGAGCCGGGCCAAACGGAAGACAACATTCAGATGTAGCAAACCGCAGCAGGGCTCTGAGACCCCACGGCCCTCCTCTAATGTGGACAACACAATAAGATAAGCCTAGTCAAGTATCAACACTGTGGCAAAACTGATTCAATGTTGAGAAAACACTGCACTGCGATAAGAGGAATAAAGTACCACACATTATGACTGCGTTTATTTCCAAGTCGCAGATAACAAGATGCTGCTGGCTGGAAGATAAGCTGGTGCAACTAGTCAGGCAAACATATAGCTGCAAGCCTCTATGCATAAACGCGGAGTACAACACAGTGCTGCAGGAGGAGCTCTGGGCCGGTCACATGACACGATACACTTCATTAAAGGGATTAATCAACATTTTCAGTTTGCTGTTTTAAGCTGGATTTTGCCAAACTGGGAATGTTTCCACTATCCGGCTTTAGCTTCTCCTGTTGCAACCATGAAACTATATTCTCCCTCACAGAGTTGTGTGGTGTTCTAACCATCTTCCTCAGCAGTGGAAGTATGGGGGCATTAACTGTAGAAAAACTAGTTGTTTATGGAGAGTTGTCTGTCTGTATCTCAATCTGTTTGTCCGAAGTGATTTGTCAATGTGTAAAAGAAGTTGTCAATGCGAACCGGAATCTACAAAAGTCGTCTCACAATGCGTACAAAGAGTTGTCAATATGTACAAAGAGTTGTCAACGCATACAGAGGTATTTGCAGTTTAAAAGTCTACGTATTCGAGTCGAGCGGCTTCCTCATTGGCTGTCTTTTTACACATGACTTTTGCTACACGTATACCGTGAGAGATCTGAAACTGGAAAGTATCTGAAAATCAAGGTTTCTGTGTCCAGAGCTCAGGCTCACAGGATCGTCCATTGTGGCTGCTACCGCTCTGCTGCCCTGCGCCTCAGTAGCTACGCCGCCTGCAAGCGATCATTCATGAAAGAGTTTGTTCAGCGACCCATAAACTCAGCAGATCGAACTTTTTCACATATACCTATAAGATTGTATTTTTAGAAGGCTCAGCAATTGACTCACTAATAATGCAAACTGCAAAAAACATTAACATGTACTCAGTGTGTGTGGTCGGGATTCCATCGTTGCCTCATAATGTTGCGTATGCTCAAAGACTCTGATGCGTAATGCCACCTGATGGCTTGCAATTCTACAATTCTACAATTTCATTTGGCAGACCTTCATTTGACAGACTGAAAACAAACAAACAAAAAATCCTATTACCTCCCTATAGCCTGCTATTGGCATCAACGTCCTATCACACTTGAACTTGTTCTATGGCACGATCCAGATTGTTTTCTCCTAACTAGAACCTTGCTTGTGTTGCATCTGCTCTCAGATGTAAGTCACTTTGGATAAAAGCATCTGCTAAATGAAATTGCAGAATTGTAGAACTGATGGCTTGCAGGTGGCGTAACTAAAATTGTGAGACGACTTTTTCAGATGGAAGTTTGCCTAGTTGTGCAGGTTCAAATTAGATGTAGAGATTTCATTTTCTGTTCTCGTGAGGACTTCACCGACATCCGATCTCCTCACTTTCAGTAATAATTTCGACCATAAAATGTCAGAACATGTTGTGAAAATGCTCATTACAAACTACAGGAGCCCAAGGCTGCTCTAAGCCCCAAAATATCCTATTTGTAATGACATAATAATAAGAAAAGCAGCATATCTTTACATTTGAGAAGCTGAAAATGAGAGAATCTGACACTTTTTCTTGTAAATTACTTGAAATGATTACTGGGGGAAAAAAAATAAAAAATTTCAATCAATTTTTATCTTATAATAAAGTGTTGTTTCAGCCACAGTAATGTGTCAGACAGCCTATTGTCGATACAGTATTAATTTCCTTTGCAAAGGAGTACACTATTTAAACAATTTCAGATATCAGTTGGAAGCTGTATTATCATTCCCTTCATTTTCTTCTGAATTACCAGTCAATCTCCTCTGCTGGGTTCTTCCAAAATTGAAATAAAAATATCCCTCCAAGCTTGCATTGGGAAAAGAAATACTTTCACCGCTGAAACGAACAAACAGAATGAGTCATGTGTCACTTTTTCAGGTTTACAAGCCCAATGCGGCTCCCTGCTATCCCCTTTAAAAGGCAAAAATGTCCCACTCTTTCATTCTGAATAAGGAGACTCCAACAGGTTTCTGTCACTGGGATGAAAAACCAAAGCCCAGACACTCACTGCTCTCAAATAGAGAGCCTTTTAAATCCTCTGACAATGAGCGGGACAGATAAGGAGAGAGAGAGTGAGAAAGAGAGAGAGAGAGAGGAGGGCAAGAGAAAAAGAGACACAAACAGAGGGAGAGAGAGAGATAGAAAAGTGTAAAATGGAGAGGATAACGAATGAGTGCGCCGCTGAGAGGGAGCCTTAATGATGTCAATGTGATAAGTCTAAAACGAGGTGAAAATTGAAATGAGTGCTGCCACGGTGGTGGTCG